CTTGAGGATATCGGGTGGTGCAGTTGGGTAGGCCTTGTGTGCCATATTTTCCGAATCCTGTGCCAGCTCTTGCAGGCTCTCCCCTTTAGCATGGACTCTCATCCTAAACCTAGCCCTGTAGACTTCAGACTGATTTTGAGTTCCATACCTGAAATCTAGAGCAGCTACCAGTGCTCTATAGTTGTGCCTGTCTTCTGCTGACAACTGTTCAAGTATTTCCAGTGGTTGTCCCTTCAGGCTTGTTGCCAGGTACACTGCTTTCTGCTCCTCTGTCCATCCATTCATCTCTGCCAGGAGCTCAAATTGTGCACTATATGCTTCCCACGGTGCCTTCCCATCGAATTCCTGTGGTTTTCTTCGTACTGGATTACCCCTATTGCTGACATTCATATCTGGGATGTGACTTCTAAGAGGACTGAAGATGTCTACATTAGGGTCTAGCTGCGGGGTCTGGAAGGGGCTTGCCATTGTCTGGGGCTGATTAAGCCGATGACTAATGTATCCTTCTTGTGTAAAAGACAATAGATCATCCTTTAATGTATCTAATTCGCTTTTAAATTTACTAATGTTTTCCATTTGTACTTCTTGCCACTGTTGTTGACTTTCCTGTAGTTGCTGCTGACTTTCTTCCTGTTTATGTTCTTTCTCCACCAGTAGCTGTTGTAATCTCTCTTCTTGTTTCTTTTCTTTTTCCTCCAACAACTGCTTCTTGTTTCTTTTCTCATTCTTCTTGTTTATTTTGCTGTTCTTGTATTTCTGCCATCAACTCTGCTAAGCTGTAGTTTGATTTGCCACCTCTCGTTTCCATTTTTTTTTTTCTACCCGCTTCTGACACCAATTTGTTACGTCTCTGCTTGTTTGATAATTTCTGCCAGAAGCTCAAATTGTGCTCTATATGCTTCCCACAGTGCCTTCCCATCGAATTCCTGTGGCTTCCTTCGTACTGGATTACCCCTATTGCTGACATTCATATCTGGGATGTGACTTCTAAGAACACTGAAGATGTCTACATTAGGGTCTAGCTGCAGGGTCTGGAAGGGGCTTGCCATTGTCTGGGGCTGATTAAGTCGATGGTTAATGTATCCTCCTTGTGTAAAAGACAATAGATCATCCTTTAATGTATTTAATTCGCTTTTAAATTTACTGATGTTTTCCATTTGTGTACTCTGCCTTTCTCTCAATTGTTGGAGACTTTCTTTTCTTTTTCCCCCAACAACTGCTGTAATCTCTCTTCTTGTTTCTTTTCTCGTTCTTCTTGTTTATTTTGCTGTAATCTCTCTTGTTTATTTTGCTGTTCAAGCTGCCACTGTTGCAGGTTTTCTTGCCACTGCTGTTGCCTCTCTTCTTGTTTCTTTTTTCGCTCTTCTTGTTTCTTTTCTTTTTCCTTCAACAACTGCTGTAATCTCTCTTCTTGTTTCTATCTCGTTCTTCTTGTTTATTTTGCTGTTCTTGTATTGCTGCCATCAAATCTCTTAAGCTGTAGTTTGATTTGCCACCTCTCGTTTCCATCTTTTTTTATATTTTTTTATTGTTTTTCTACCCACTTCTGAAACCAATTTGTTACGTCTCTGCTTGTTTGATAATTTCCGGTAGAAATTCTTCCCAAGAAACTTCAGCGATACAAGTCCTTTCTTAAATAAAACTAGTTTACTCTTTCTCAATACAACTTTGCAATACACAATTTCCACAGTCACTCAAACACACGCTATAATTCTCAACGAACAATTCACGCAGTTTACTTACTACTGCACTTGACTCAATTGTCCATCCATATCTTCAATCTCTCTGTCCGCTATACCATACTGATTAATTGTCTGTTGCACTTATATACAAGAATAGAGGGCACCTAGCAAATACTGGATTATTCGTGATGTTCCCCGATATTTCTAGAACGCATTATGTGTTAACAGCGTCACGTGACTTCCGCTATCGTAACAATATCAACATAAAATGATGCTGAAATGTAAAATTATCAAGATGAGTTTTGTCATATCCTTGAATTTTATGGTAGGTTTATAACCTTACAAGATTATAAAAATTATTAATTTAGAAAGGGGGAATAGGGATCTCCAAAAAATACAGAAACAAGATAGGTAGCTTAAAGTGAAATGAAATCACCAAAAAAGTATATAAACAAGCTTAAAGTCTGATACATAGTGTTGAGATTATTTCCTCAAGCTACGAATCCCTATTTTGACTCTCCTAAATATTTCAGCTTTTAAACATGTCTCCGAGTTTTTTTTTCATGTACAAAATTTTAGCTCAAAGCTTCATCTCTTGACCGATTTGAGATCTAATTACAGCCATGGCTATTGAGGATTCCCTCTTATTTTAAGTTGTAAAGCTGTATATATAGATAGCCATATAAAATTTTCAAGTTGTCTAGATGAATTCATATATATTCTATGCAAATATAAGACAATGTGTCATAATGTAATAGCATATGTATACAAATAAGCATTTTTAATATTTCCCACTTCCTCTTTCTCCTCTCTGCTGGCCAGATTTCCTCTGACAGTGACATTCTGCCCACTATACAAGGTTTAAAACATGTTAAATAACAGTTATTGATTGATAATATTAATATACTCCCCCATTTCTGATGGAGTTTGGGTCGTGACACTTTTACGATCCTCTTCCACTGTGATGACCCTAAACTCTGCTGCTGCATACTTTATATGAAACTAAATATTTTAAAAATAAAATATATAGCTACAAAATTTCTGTTTCACTTTGCTTAGAATTGCCATCATTTTCACCATCTCCTGCTTGCACAATTCTTGCCACTCCTTATAGTCAGCTTCATAGATGGCTGCTCTATCTGCAATATCTATAAATTTCTCAATCATGCAATGTTGGCTATAATTCAATCATCACCGTGATTGCCAATCCAGTGCTCTGTTTTGACTCTTTCAGCACAGGCTTGGTCCCTGGGAACGACCTCGTAACCATTTTATGCTTGTTATAGTTTTCATGCTATAACTTTTAATTAGTAAGCGTATGTTCACACAATTTGGCAGATTATCAGTAAACATTACAATTCTTTCATATGCAAAATATAATTTTTTTTATTAAGTCTTAAGGTTTGTAAAGCAATGTTTTTCTCTTGCCCTTTTTTTTTACATATTGCCTATCCAACATGCGTAATCATTTTCATTTTAAGATTAAAAATACTTTTATGTATCAGAAAATTTTCACATTTCACATGCAAAATCTTTATAACATCCAGATAGTTATTAAAAATTTCTTAGGAAAAAATCTCTATATTTTATTTGTTATTATAAATAATATATGCGTATAAATTATTACTATTTATGAATAAGTTCTTAAATTTTTTCCCTTAAAACATGGAACAGTAATTAAAAAGTAATGCAAACATTCATCTCTTCTAGTTACGACCTTTGTACCCCTTTTCTGCTTGTCGTAGGTTGCTAAGCCTTATAAAATTTGGCATGTGTAGGTTTTCTTTATACATTTGAAATAACCAAAAAAATCATAAATTACTATACTGATACCATAGAATTCCACTATAACTTATTAAGCTCTATTTGGGCCTAAAAAATATATGAAATTTCAAGCAGATGAAAATCTCACGTTACCAGTTTGAAGACTTGTATCGAAAGAATGAGGTGATATCGTAATGCTTGAAAATGGCTGAGAAAACCACTAGGGGGACATTCTGAGCTTTCAATTGGTTATTTACATGTCACAGACAGAAGTAAGTGTATATAATCGAGCATTTCCAAAAATGTAAAGAAGTGAGTGGGGCCACTGTTTTGGATTCAGTACATAAGCAATATCTCAACAAATAGAAAAGATAAGAGGTTCTTATTTTATATTCTAGCTTGTCAATAATGTTAATTTGAGTTCCTAAGTTGTAAGAAACTATAGACTTTGTATTTTGACATCACAAACATCTAAGATGAACCAGTGCTGCATTCAACATACAACGTAACACACACACACACAAAAATTGATATTTTGGTGTTTTTTAATATTTACTTTTAAATTAAGAAATTAAATAATGTACAATTATAATCTACAGTTTAATACCAAACTTATTGACATAAATTCATAAAATAGTAGTAGTTCAATAAAATTTTGAATGTGAGTCAATAAATGCAATGACACGGCCTTTAACCCATGTGGAAAGGGTTAAACTATGGCTTAACAATTTCTGTTATTGGAGAGAGAGCCTAGATGTTTGTATAACACTTTAGACGCTTGTGTAACATGGCCCAAATTAAACATTCAGTGGTAAAAATACTGTCAGCAGTGTCATGTCTGAAAGGGCAGGACCCCTATACATAAACAAATGAAAAATGACATCATTCTTCTGTCTTTTTTTGTTCCTTCCTGGAGGGCAGAGTGCTTTAGAATTCAATTCTGTCTTAACGTTTTGCCTGGAGCAGTTTTAAACACACATGGAATTTTTGCGAGCCATACACTGTACCCACACAGTGAATCAGCAGTCAATGGGTTAAGGTGACACAACAGTGTGTTTACTAAGTTTTTTCTCATGAGTTACAGGATATAGCAGATCAATATTCTGAATGCTTTATAAGTTGCAGAAAAAAATACAACTTAATGCACTAAAACTAAAGAAATGATGTGAAAGTGATATTCAAATATTATATGATTAATTAACAAAGGACATACATTTTTCACATACCTAAAGAATCATCTTTCTTTCTTTTCTTTAGTGTGCGGACTTCTTCAATAACCGGAGACACTTCTGTTGCAGCAATTAGACTGGCTGTTTCAGGCAGAACTTCTACTTTCACTTCACATGACTGTTGATATTCTGGATCACTAAGTATTGCAACCAAATGCCTTTCTGGGGAAGCTTTTTACAAAAACACAATTTTCACCAATGTATTTATTCAACACAGTATGATTAAATAATCAAAAACAATGCTCCATCAAATTTAAGATAGCTCAGGAAAATACCTGATATATGATTTGCTCATGTGTATGTAAAATTTGGTGACTAAAGTTGCTGCTGGATACATGTAGTATACACATTAAAAAATGTATTAACTTAAAGCAAAATACCAATAAAATATAACCGTGCTTCAATACAATAGGTCACTTATTTTGTAAAAACAAAAAATTGGGTGTATTGAAAATGTTCACTAATTGATAATACAGTATACTAAGCATTTCTGACAAGTACTAGGAAAATAAAAAGCTGGTGTAAGAACTTACTTGTTTAAAAAATAAGTTTAGTAATAAGTAAAACTTTATATTTTTAGTTCTTGTAATTATCATCAGATACTTGTGATAGATGTGATGGTTATATGCCCAGAAACGAGTGCAAGATTACATGTACGATTGTTATAGGTTGGTAACAACACTTCATATCCAAGATTTTCTTCTGATTGTAATAGGTTAAAATTTTCATGACTAATACTTATTGAAAGAGTCTCTTTCTCTTACTTTTTTGTTGAAAGTGAATCAGGAAAGACACTAAGCTTTTTACTATGTACTCTTATCAGCCAGATTTTTTTTTTACTTTTAGTTTAATCAGATACTCTTTGCTTTATTTCAACTTTAGTTCAGTTATAGTTGTAAAAACATACTCAGTTAATTTATTTGGAAGTTAAATTTTTCTTTACCTAAAAATGTATTTCAGATAGATATACTTACTCCTCTGCACAATAAACAGCTATTACTCAGTGAACTGCCATAAAGATTTCTATGCATGCCACAAGCCTTGGATGAAGCTTCCATTCTTACATGTGTTAACACGTATTGTAACAAACTATGATGTAATCATCATCAAACCATAGCACTCCACAATTAGAAGGGCAACATATCCTCCATGTGCAGTAAACCCCATGAGAACAAAGGCTCATTCTTGAAAAGAGGTGGGGAGATGGTGCAGAGAGGTGAGTGTCTGAAACACATTTTCAGGTAAGGAAAATGTTAACTTCATAAATGCTATTCACTTCTATGCAGAAAAAACAGCTAAACTCCCACATTCGATATGGTGGAGGGGCCAGTACAGATAAAGAAATTACATATATGAACTCTTTTTCTGAAAACATAACACTAGTAAGGGAAAGTCCACGGAGTGTGTCACTCACTGGGGAGGTAGCCCAGTGGGGCACCACTCAGTGGGAAAATGCATCTATCTCAAGTGGGGAATACTCTTTGACCATGAGAAGTAGTATAATGAAAAGATATTGTCAAAGGAATCTTTTGCCTAGTGTCCTGAAGTGTTGCTAATATAGCTGGAATGAAAACTACTCAACTGTCCATTATATCACAGGCAGCAGCTGAGCATGAGTGTAATATGGCTAGGGTTATAATTCAGGCCATTCCATATTGGAGAAATATTTAAGTGAGATACTTACCACAATAAAGAGGTACAGAGAGAAACATCCCAGTCTTGTTTCCTGAGGAAAACACAAGATCTATCCAGCTGGACTAACCACTGGAAATGACTTAGTGATAATGTAGTAAGTCAGCCTGTACCTCAATAACAAGAATACCCTAAACCTACTTCCCACTGATGGGTGGGTCCACTCAGTTTCTTATTAGTGGGATTGAACCATCCCAATAGGAATCCTCCATATATACTCTCTAATGGCTTTGGGTTGAGAAAGCAAGGGTTCTCCCTTTGCTCCACTTGAAAAAAAAAAAGGAGGAAAGAATGCCACAGATGCTTGGACTGAAACAGGAATTTTCACATCTGTTTAGGTCCCACATTGACAGACTGTGCAATGGGTTACCATGACTAAAGATGCTAGGCACTAGCCAGATATACAGTGAGTCACACACGTGGTACTGTCATTTTTTTTTTTGCAAGTGTAGAACAGCCTGGTAGAGAAAATATATACATCTGCCAAAACAGTCTTGTAGAAAATCCCATCGCAACAGTGGGAGAAGGGCTTAAATACTTTTCTGTTATCTCCTACTTGGTGCAGATTCTAGGAGAAAGTATTCCTTTGAGGCAACATCTGCCA